AAATTATAATAAATTTTATTATTTGCATTATAATATGATTATACAATTTTAGTAACAGTAATAAATTTATATTATATTTTGTAATTAGCTTTATAAAAAATATATATTTTATAAATATCTTATTAGTAATATTATTTATTAAAAAAAAGTACTTGATTAAACTGTTTATATATTAATTGATAACCTTATTAGATATATATCGATTGTTTAAAGCTGGTTATATATCAGTTTATACCAAAATTGATATAATTTAGCAAAGGTAATTAATATTAATATATATTTAATAGGTTACCAATCACTATATATCTCTATATAAAATTTTTCGATAGTTAGTAAATATCTTTTTTATAATATTTTTATTTACTAGATAATATTTCAGTATTTAGTTTTAAATATTATCTGAAATGTAACAAATTTTATAACTATCTTTAAATTATTAGCTTTTTATTATACTATCAAATTATATACATTCTATAATATATCAGTTAATTATTTATAAAATGATTAGTTTAAATATTTTGGTTAATATTTTAAATTTTTTTATAATTAATATAATATGTATTATATCATTTAAATATTATTTCAAATGACCAAAAAAAATTTATTAGTAAGCCAATAGTATATCTTCTTATGATTTATCAAATTTTAATAAATAAGCTAAATATTATTATAATATTACTTTATATTTTCTTTATAATATTATTATTTTTTAGATAATATTTTGATAATTTTTGATGTTTATTATCTAAGATATAACAAATTTTTTGACTATCTTAATTATATTAGCTTATTTTTATTTTCTTTTAATCTTATAGCAGTTAACAAACTATTAGCCAACTATTATTTAAATGATTATTTGTTAATATTTAGATCATATTTTTAATTTTGATCTATGTTATATATTTATAACAACAGCTTTTTTGTTAATTAGTTGGAATAAAATACCTGTAATTGACCTGTGAGTCAATAGTGAAGTAGTTATGCTCTCAGGTCACTAATTGCAAGGTTGCCAGTTCAAGTTTAACAGGGGACATAAACTGTGTTAGAACTACAATTATGGATTAATCACACCAGATGGCATATTACGAAAATAAGAAGATCTTTGATATCCAGATCCTTAAATAGCGATGGACCTGAGATAAGAAGACCACGATGATTAGGGAGCTGAGAATAATAATAGAACAAAAGAATTCCTAATTAGAAATAATTCCAGTAAAATTCTAGGATAATAGGAACACAAAAAATTAATATATAGATAGTACTGTAAATGTATACAAACAATGTAAAAATGTAGATAGGGTTCTGATAGAAGGTTCTGTGAATCTGAAATATGAACTAATAAAACAGCTGCCAGCTGTGACCCACTAGCAACCAAGCAGTAGGAAATTAAAAAAAAAAAAAATACCTGTAATTATGGTTGCATCAGCATAACTAGTAGGTTATAAGACATTTGAGTAACCTTGGTTATACAAAACAATATACTAATTTAGGTAATGCAAACTTAAATAAGTCTTTATAGTTATGTAAATCTATAGAACTGAAAAAACAAGGCATATTTGGAGTAAAAAGGTAATACAGATTTTTGATAATACTACTGTAAAAGCTAGACCTAGAAAATAAATACCAATATAGAAAAGCTAGATAGGCAAGAACCTCAAAATAAGAAGTACTACTAACCAGGTTACTAAAATTAAATTGAAAGAAAAGAATATTAAACTGTCTTAATATACTAATGACAGATTACAATTCTACTGAGCTATTTGAATTAAAATTCTGAAAACAAAAGCAAAAGTATACTAAAATACTAGGAATATGCTATGAAGTAGATACTAAGGTTTAGATAAACTCTACAAGGGCTAGTCTTGTTAATGTTTTATAAAGTAGATAGTTAGTTAACAAGAAGGCATACTAGAGCCTTACAATTAGGTAATATGCTCTAGAATATATAATGATCTGACAAATATACAAAAGAGAAGGCTTAATATTAGATTAGGCAGCATTTAAATATATAGAAACTAGATACTACTTTCTTGAATATAGTATAAAAATTAAAGTGTTTAAATAGGTAATTTTTTAGTAAATTATAAATATAACAGTTAGTATAAAATCTCTAAGCAGACTACTTAAATAAATAATTAAAAGTTATATATGTAATTAGTTGCATACTTACCTTATATAAGTTACATATAATGCATTGACAAAAATACAAATAAAGACAGTAGCTACAATAATATCAACTTTAACAAAAACAAAAAAAATTTTGATATTTTCAAAATTAATTAATGCAATATTTAATATAAAAATTTATATATTTTTATCTATATTGATTTATATTAATTTTTATCTTTTTTTTAACTACATATTAATTTTTATTTATTTGATTATATATTAATTTTTATTTATTTGATTATATATCAATTTTATTCATTTTGGTTATGTATTAATTAGTATTATAATTTGTATAAATTAGCAAATATAATAAATACTACTATATATATTATAATTAGTAATCAATATATAGCAGTTTATTTTTTTTGTTGATGAGATTATTATGTTAAAAGATTTTAATTTATTTTGTCTAATTTCTTTTAAGTCTAACTGTGTATGTTTACATTTTCTTTTTCTTTATTGTTATTAAAGCTGTTTGGAGTTTTTTTGTTTTTTTCTAAAAAGTTTTTAATAATTGTTTGACTATATAATATTTTTTTATATTTATTTTTCTAATATTGTGTTAATTGAATAAATTTCTTTTTTATTATTATTTGTATTTGTTATATCTTGATCTATTCACATATTTAGTATTTGTTTATTTGTATTATTTTGTAGATGTACTAGGTTTGAAGACTGGTTCTAGTTGAATTAGATTGTTTATATCTTTATTTTGTTCTTATATAAAAAGAATTATATTAGTTATAATAGAGTTTTGAATTAAAACCTGATTAATTTGTAAATTTATAAGAATATTTTTTTTATTGATTAATATAAATTTAAAATTAGATTTAATGTTGTTTCTATTTATATTAATAATATCATGTCATAAAAATTCAAAAATAAGCTTAAACTTGCTTTTTTCTTAAAAATTCTTTTGTTATATTTTTTCTAGAATTTGTTTAGACAAGAATAATAGTATTATAATTAGGTTTGTACTTTTTTTTGTTTTGTTTACTCATTATATTGTTATTATCAATATATATATAAACAAATTATATTTTTCCTTTTGGGTTTCAGCCAAGTGCACTTTGTTATTATTCTTTTTATAGTTATTATTTATTTTAGTTATTGATGTAGTTAGTAACAAGGTTGTAAAAAGAAATGAAATGCAGAAAACTGTTTCTTTGTTTTATTTAATCTTTAGTAACTTTGTTTTTTATTATTATTGTAAATTATTCTTATTTATTTAATTATAATATTTTAAATATGTTTTATTATAATTTGTTGTTTTTTATTTACTATAAAAAATGATTTATAAGCTTACTTGATTTTTAAGAACTTAGATATAATTAATTATAGTAATTATTTTTCATTTTTGAAATCTTTACTGATTTATATAATGTTAAAAAATAGATACTAAAATTTTCTCTATAATGCAAAATAAGAAAATAGAAAACAATAAAATGTCTTAATATGATATTAATGAAAGAAAACAAAGGTAAGCTTCATGTTCATAAAATGTTCTTGCCTGGATAAGCTTTATTGAAAAACAATATATGCATATACAAAGGTAATTGCATTATATAATATGTTTTAACAAATAAAAACCAAATTACTGCAAAAAAACTAATTGTAGTCTGCTTATTATAGATAGTAAATAATAATGAAGTTTTAATTACAGAAAATATTGATTTTAAAAAATATATACATACTACAAATAATGAATATGCTTATATATACATATATGTATTATTTTGAAATACATAAATCTGAATAATAAATATACAAGTGCATCCATATAAAACAACTTTAAATATATATACGTATTTAGACTAAGTATAATTATCAGTTATTCTAAAATATTATAATTACATTATTTCAAAAAATTATTTTAAAACGTACACTAAGTGTATAAATCATAGGTATAACACAACATTAAAGAAAACAAATATTAATAATTTACTTAAAATTGGATTAAGATTTGGGTTAGGGTATAATTTTTACTAACATTTTATAAATTTTTTTTTGTTTGTTAGAGCACCAAAGGTTGCTTTATTAGTAAAATTTTAAGTTATACATATATGTTGTAAGTGGAAACGGAATCTAGGTTGATTTGAAATTTTTTAATAAAATTACAATTTTAGAGTAGAATTTATTTTATATAAACCTACTCCCTAACCTTCAAAATCCTAAGAAATTTCAAATTCACTTAAATTACATTCCCACTTACAAAATATATACCTGTGTTTCATACATTAGTGTACGAATAGAAATTCTCTTAAAATTATTGTTAAAAATAATCAAAATATTAATCTAACAACAATACCAACAAAAACTTTTGATTCAGCCAGATTATAGTAGCTCTAGGTAGCCAGTTGTATATGATACAATTTTTAAAATTTTTTTCTTTTATTTAACGTTAAAAGTTATTGATACATATTAAAGATACAGTAATTTACAAATGTTTTTTTTTTTTGTGACAACTTAAAATTACATAGTGTCAGGGGGTATGATTAATCAAAGTTACGCAATTATTGTTATTGATCACTCAGCCTTAATTTTACAACTTGAAAAACTTCGTAATCATCAACTGCAAAAGTACCATTTTTTCCATTCCAACTATCCCAACTTTCTCTGTGAAACATATCACCAACACTTTGTTCGTAACTTTCCTTATTACAACTACAATTTCCTGCTAAATTAAAATCATCAGTTATCCATAAATCACCATCTCCAAAACATGGACCATTATATTGTGAATCACTAATAGCATATTGTGAACATGCTGGAATTACTCTACCAAGTTTAGCAACCATTTTTTTCTTGTAATCTATATTGAATTGACATATAAAACTGTCACGTGTATAACGCCATGTATTTGTAGAACCCCAAGAAAGCGGATTATATCCACCAATTACGTGTTTTGAATTATTGACTTTTAAAAGAGTAATTGTTGGTCCTTGATTATCACATCTATCATGGAATGTGGCCGCTGAGAATCCATCACGGGATCCACGGACCAAAAGTTTGAATTCATATTGAAGTTCACCAGGATATGATGGAAGAGAAGTATTATCACCACCATCAATCCAATAAGCAATAAGAGCTGAATGTGGTTTTTCGATAATAGTCGATTTTATACCTATTAATGAATATAAAAATTTTTTATATCAGATGTGAAAATAATAGATTTATATAAGTACACAAGTCCTAGGTTAGACCCATGTGGAAGTATATGTATAAACAATTTACAAAATCAAAGTACCTTTATATCTTGGAGCTTGAAGATATTCAGGTTTAAGTTGCATTCCAGCTTGAAAATGATAACGTTTAAGATCTTCGTATAATTCTTTAGGGAGAATTTTTTTAAATGGTCTAACTTTATTATAAATTTCCGACGGTTTCATTTGAAAGAACCTGATGGTAGGAATAATGTGATCCAAAATTTCACGAAGTGAATCAAAATCATCATTTGACCATTTATTTATATCGATGGAGAGATTTGCATTCGCTATTCCCCATTCAAGAAGATGATCCCAGATTACGACTTCTTCCATTTCGAGATCACTACGATTTAGTAAAGAAATCAAAGTTTCTTCTTCAAGTGAAGTGAAATCTTTAGCTTTAAATATCGATTGAGGATCTTCACAAATCGTTATTAAACAGAATTCTTGAAGATCTTTTGAAGAATCGAGTTGGAATACAGTTTGATGAACGAGAGCGAAGTTTTGATGTAACCAATTTGATTTATTTGTTAAAAGATATTCTTGAATGTATTCTTGAAGTTCACTAAGAAGTAATTCATCAGATGCAATCAATAACTTTAAGAGATCTTCTCCTTTTTGTTGTTCCATAGGAATAGAACCTGTGTACATAAATCTATAATTTATGATTTATATTAGTTGAGATAATCTTAGTAATGTTATAACTAAATTATCATTAAAAAAAAAAATTTAAAATAAAAACCTAAGTAAAAGAGAAAATATATAAGGATCAATATTTGGTTTATTAAAAACGGTCATTGATCCTTCTTTTCTAATCCAATCATTTGATAATGCAGTTTTAAAATAAGGAGATCTGGCCCTTAACACAACAGAATGAGCTTTAAATGATTGTCTATGCGGATCTTGACCAACATTTATAAGGACATTATGATCATCACCAACATCGAGAAGATTGGCAAAATCTATAGCTAAAGATGTTAAGAATTCATACATTTTTTATTTTAGTAAAGGGGGAATGATTTTTTGAAAGAATAATAAAGATGAGAGAAAATTGAAGATATTTATATAAATTTTTAACCTAAATTCAGAAGTTATCAACATTCAAATTGTTCCTATGTAGGATATGAGTGACAATGTATTTCGCAGATTTTATGAAAACATGAAAAGTGACTGAAACATAATATATTACTATTATGCATTATATGTAATCAGCCAACTTTTATGTATTTCATTTAAGTTTGAATAAACTTATAATACCACACTTAATTTAGAGAAGAATCAAGATCTTCAATTTGTATCATTATTCTATGTTTTCTATTGTTAAACTGTTGCACAATCTCCTACAAATGAATCTCGGGTTTTATTGTTTCAAAAATTGAAGATTGAGTCTATAAATGTGTTCAACACCCTAAAATTTCGGACTAACTTCCGTGATTCCTTACGTACGTATAATGTTATTACGGAACACTTTGGACATGAGTTCGGAAATTTTTTTGAACAATTGAACAAAAAAGGAAAATAAATAAATAAATCGAAATTTTATTAAAACTAGAATAGGAACTAATGAGGGAATTATACATGTAGTTATTTTATGATCGGTCAAACATAAAATTTGCGGACGCAGACGTCAAGTGCCTCTAACGTTAACCGAGGGCGCAGTCACATAGTCTCACGGCCACCTGAGCATAGTGAAAAGGGCTTGAGCCGACTTCGAACTGCCAAACCGAGCCGTATAATGCCTCGGCTACAAAGTATTCGGCTCTAAAATGGCTCGACTCAAAATCTTGAGGAATTCATGAGGCCGACCCAGAGCCATGAACCGATAGATCTTAATCATATGATAGTAAATTCACAGTGTGACCAATAAACATACATATCTACTCACTTAATAGATAATTACTTCATAGACACCTTATTTCACAACTAATAGCTCGTCAAATTATAGTTATTATTATTATGATTAGATCAGAATTATGTTTAGGGTTAGTGCAAGTTATAAAACAAAACTTGTATATCGATATGAAATGAGCTGTCTGTAAATCATGATCTCATGCGAGAATCAGAAATTCTGTAGATTTTAAGAATTCTATCTTTTACAAATAAATATAAGCATAACTGATCAAAAATATGATCAAATCTTTCGAATTTTCCTAGATCATCATAAAGATCATGGGTCAGATTTTTTTTACAATACTAATACTACAGTGCGGGACAGCTAAAAGATATCCAATTTATTATAACTTTTTTGAATAAAATTTGGCACATCACGGAAAAGTGGATATCTTTAGCTGTCCCACACTGTATATGTCATGTATAAAGTATAGAGGTGAATACATAAAAGAAATAAAGAATTGTCTAACAAGTAGTGATGCAGCAGGAATCGTTCCAATTATTGCCGTAACTAATTACGACATAAGCTTTAGCTAGTTACGGCTTAAGCCATTTTACTGCATCACAACTAGGGATAGGCAGACGTTCGTCTGATTGGCTAATAAATTCAGTTTAATTTTACATTATTTATACAGTTTAGAATACTTTTAAACTAACCATAATAAAGTAAAAAAAAAACCATATAAATAATGTAAAATTAAATTGAATTTATTAGCCAATCAGACCTATGAAATGGCAAATGTTTTAAAATGGGATACACCATCTTTTTTTCAAAAAAAAATGTTCTCAGCTGACAACTAAAATTTTTAAAACAATATATAAAAAATGTTTAAAAAACTGTTTAACACATTTTTTTACCATCCCTAATCACAACAATAGAGTTATTTTGAATGATCTGCAAAACTCGAAGTTGCCTATGAAATAATTGGTGAAATAATACGGATTCGGCTAAAAATTCGGTTTTCAAAATCTAAAATTTAATCTGTCGCTAAATTGCATTTCGAATCGGGAACAGTAAAAATTTTAGATCGACCGTTGACTTTGCTCAAATTAATTAGTGTCGTTTCGGCTCGGCTCTGATTTGCAGAATGGTCTCGGCTCGGCTAACATTATTCGTGAACCGCCGTTGCATCAATACCTGAGCAGGTATAACGTGATATAGCGTGATAGTATTACAATGCATAAACAGAACGAAGTCTGTAAATATGTACGTACGTATGAAAAAATTTTTTTAATATTATTGTATATATTGAACAATAGATCATTTTTTGTTACATATATATGTTGTGCCTCAGATATCGATTTTTTGGTCAGCAATAGCTGATTGACATTGATTGGCCTAAATTATACTCTAATCCTACCCAAACTCTTACTTTAACCCTAACCTAAATTAGGCCGATCAACATCTTTGTCTGAAGCACGAATTTTTTGATTTAAATAATCTATTAGCGTTAGATCAAAAAAGCTAAATATATATTTATAATAAATTAATATGATTAAAAAATACAAAAAATTAGAATAGAGCAATAAAGCAATATATACAATAAATGAATAGAATTTACAATAGAATAATAGAATGCCAACATTGTAAATTACTATCTATATACCTAGATCTATTATCTACGATCAACAAACCCAAGAATGTTACAAGAACCAAATAAATTTAGTATAAAGCCCGAATGTCTAATTTTCTTAGTATTCTCAAGAATATTAAAATATTTTTGAGAACACAAGATTTAAATATTATAAGTTCGCGTATTAAATAATTAAAGAACTTTTAAAATTTATGTTCTCAGAGTAAACGGTAGCCATATTTTGTCTTCTAAGCAAAGTTCACACAGTGAACGTTGACATTTCGTTAAAGCTATAAACCATATTTACGGTGGTAAAATGTTACCTTCTTAAAAGTACTTTAAAGTGTATATATAAGTTACCCAGGCAATTGAGTTGCATCCTATGAAAATTTTGCCCGAAGTGCATATTGTTATACTGCATTAAAATATCAATATCGATCTAAAAATCTTCTGAGTTTACATAATCATATCGCTGCCTCTCTATAATTATACATACTGCCAAACTCAAAATCCCACTCAAATCCCAAACATAGTAAAATGCCCCAAATCTTAATCCCAAAATGTAATAACGTTCCAAACCCCAAATTCAAATAGTTTTGCGAGTTATCGCATTCCCTATTTTGTATTTCTTATTTATATTCCTATTATGCTTTTAACAAATAAAAGGAGTAACAAGAAACAAAGTTAAACATCTTATGTAAAATAACACGGATAAATAAATTGTTTCATTTCGACATTATCTCGTGAGCATTTAATATCATTAATACTGTATAATGATAAATCTGTTTACAGTTCAGTTCTGTACCCTTATTTTTTATACACATGGCAAATTTCATAGTCTTTTTCCTCTTCAGGTGATATTATTTTTTTTTTTTTGTTAAAATATTTTGTTACTGCGTTTATAAAAGAATAAGTTTTAGCCTTATTATCTATTTGACAGAACTAACTGTGTTAGAAATGAAGTAACCATTATGTAAGAGTTTTACTGAATCAACCATTATAAATTTAAATGAACAAATTGAATGGCCAAATTTCTTCACGACAATCAAATTCTTTAGTTATGAATAACCTAATTTTGAGGCTGAAAGCATTTATAGAGATGGGATATATGTATAGACAATGTTGTACACGGGACAGTTAGGACAATGTCGAAATAAAGTTGAACAAGTTTGAGTTTAATAATCCAAAAAACGGTTAATAACTCAAAATTTTATTCAAATAGTCTATTTTGTGCTGTTAAATAAAAATGGTTAAATTTTAATTTTACATATATTTATGTTATTCACTTATACGTATAATTTTATAATGTAATGGTTTGGATATCGATGGGACGTCCCGGAACGGGATGAGGGAAAAAAAGCTCGGGACAGTCAGAATGGTACAACATTGTGTAGATATAATCACTAAGAAAATAATTGATATATAAAACTTATTTATAAACACAAAATATAAGTCGAATACTTTGAATTAATCAATTCAAGCATAAATAAATTGAAGGGCATTTAATTAATATATGTAAATTCTTAATGTGAATATTCCCAATATTTGTAACAATATTGAACATATTGGATATTCAGATAATAAAAAATGTCGGATTAGATCCGAATATTTTACATGTATAAGTTGCAAATAATCATTTTTAGTCGTTTAAAGAGATTGAAATTCTCAATTAAATAAATTAATATATGAATTAAAGTATTTCCGTAAATGTTTCCACCAATTCGCGCGCCACAGTTCACACAATTAAAATATCAGAAATACGAATTATTAAAAAGAATAAAATAAAATCCAAATCACATTTTAACTCTGATATAATCATTGGATCAGTGGCCAAAATCTATTGTTGTTGTGACTATGATAGTGTCTATATAGAATTTAAGTCTATTGTGTCTTACAATAAACCAAATAGTGTTATAATATAATGTAATACAATATTTGTCAATAAAATTACAGACTAGCTTGATGGCACCTCCACATTCGTCGATCGTATAAGTATCCCATTTAGGCATTGATACCAATGCTAAGGTTTAATTTTGTCGAGAAAGTTTCAAATTAATTTGATATTAATGCAAAAGTACAAAAGTAAAAAAATATATATAAAGATATTAGGGAATTAACACTTATTACGTAAATCTAGTTCTCCCTCAGCAGGTATCCAGAACCATTTGCATAATCGTGCGTACCTGGACCTGAGTATAGATGCTGGTGAAATTCTTGGTGGTGAAACTGGTGAAATTGGTATAACAGCCAATCAGATTTTAGATAGCCACCAGTTTCACCAGCATCTATAGGTCTGAGGGGGACTAAATTTATGTAATAAGTGTTAGTTCCCTATATTGCACCTGAACCCTACTTATTACTTTATATATTTACAGCTTTTCTTCATGGTCGCAGTCTGAAAGTCGGAAATTTCTCGGCAAATTTCATTAATTCTTGACTTACATTGTTTCTCAAAAAATTCAACGTTCATTGTGGAAAAGCATATTACAAATATTTTCGTACACCTTTTCAATATCGACACGTCTATTTTTGACAGACCCTTAAATAATAGGATTACTATGCCATTAGGAGGATATTTGAGCCAGCTTTACATTAACTCCAGCGATGACAAAACAACATGATGATAATTATGTCTTTGGGCTATTGTAATTATAATATCAAGATGGATTGCCATAATAAACAATTTGATTTGCTGTTTCTGTTATTTTGGCAACTCAGGAATAACCCTGAAAATTTCATGAAAAATGACCTTTAGAATATTAACTATCTCAAAAAATGCGTCAAGGCATATGTGAACATCTATTTTTGGGAGTTTAAAATGTTTGATAATCAGTTGAGTTATAATCTAAGTTGTCTAAGGATTCAAAATTTTTGGTAAGAAAGTTTAAAAATAAAAATTATAAATGGGACACTACAGCAAGTTTATATGATGGATCTTTAGTTTCAAAAATCAATATTGTTAACTTTCCATATACGTATGACAAGAAGTACGGGTATATATTGCATCCATTCTTTTTCGTGTATTATACTTGCTAGCAAACCCCGGACGAATCCCAAACCCCCAAAATACAATTGCTTTTTATAAAAAATTAAATATTTTATACATAGCTATAAGAACAAATATCATTTGTTTAAAGCTTATTAATAAAACTTTTGAGATATTAATTTGGCCAGAATTTTGGATTTGGGTGTGTACAAACCCAAACCATAATTGTCGGGATTTGGGCGGTAAGTATAATTAGAATAGAATATTATTTTTCAAGCAATGTATATTGCATTGTTGAAACAACATCCGGAATTACTTGTATTTGTAATAACGATAAGGTATTACAATATTATCATTACAAAAGTAGTGTATTATGTATTATTTTGACTGGTACAATCAATGCTAAAATTAACTGCAGTAATTAAGGGAGGAAATGTAGGTGCATATCCAGCTACAGCTGGAATTGGTGGATCCCAAAAAAACTTCTAAAATTGGAATATTAATTTGAAATGCGGGAAGACCAGATGTATTGCATGCAGTAGGATTGTTGTTTCCTCGACTGAGTTCCAAATTCCCACTAAAAATATTTTTTTTGAAATTAAATGATTATAAAAAAAAACACAAATAAACGAACTAGTATCTTGCCTCATGGTACCCTGTTACACCCTGTTGCCACAACCTAGTTGTCATCGATCTGTGATAACGTCCTTGATCATCTCTTGTAGTCCTTCTTTTATGCAACTTAATCACAAATACATATCGTACATAAACTTGGTTCATCCATAGTTGACATTTAACATTCCAATTCGCAGTAGACTGGCGATTACCTACTTCACAAATTATTCGAGCATGTGGGCCATTCTATATGAATATACTAATATTAAAAAATTAACAGATCATACATAAACATGCCAGTATAAATATTAACTAAAAACACATTTTTATCCCTGGAGGAGGTCCAGGATATGGAGTACGAGGTTGTTGGATTTGATTCATGTTTGGATATATCGCAACATCTGCTGCAATTAGTTCACCAGTCCCATAAGGACTATAATTAACTAAGGGAAAGTGTAAATACATACTAGAAAATGAATTATATATCGGAGATAAACAGGCTAAAAGAATTCACTTACAATCATCACCGCCAACATCGATTAGAGGATCAATAATGGTATTATTTGGAACATTAAAGTAGCGTTATAGTAACGCAACAACCTTGCCATGTTCAGGATCGCCTATGTCAATGAAAAAACATAACCGTTGTTTCTTCGTTGATATTTATAATTAGAAGATTCTTGATGTTCAAGAAACTTATTGTATTGTTTTATTGTAATTTTCGAACCAATTCTATAAGGTAAACTATAATCCATACATATTAAAATTAGATGGATACCAACATTGGAGCAGTTTTATGTGCAATGACCATTCACCTGTTTTCATCTAATTGATCTGAAAAATAAGAACGTAATTTTGTTAAAGCTTTCTTCATCGTTAAAGATGGAAAAGTTTGAAAGAAAGAAACAAAATATGATTTGATAATAAATTTATATGATCTCAATGTTACACGATCAGATTTTTATTATTTTCCAAATTATTGCTTCATTAAAATTGATTTCATAATTATCCACAATACAGCTATATAATAATGATATATAGTTTGTACGTATAGGTTACAGTTGTAAAAGAATTTTCACAAACCATTTTTTTTATTTAGCCGTTTGAAAAAAATAGAGATTCGCAATTAAATAAAGTCTGTCATTTAATTTATACCGAACAGAAATATTTTTAGTAATACAGAGGTTCATAAACTAACACATAAATCAGGTCTGTAATCCACTGACGCTGAAGTTATTGCAATTTATAGAACTATAACATACAAGTATAATAAAAAGGGAAATTTTATTTTGATCCAGGTTAAAGTCACCTAAACTATTACTAATACTATTAATAATACTATTAATTACTGTCGCGTCACCAAATTTATAGCTTATCGGGTAACTTTAACCCAGGTAAAAATAGAATTCTATACTGGATGTTTGAAAAGTCCTTAGACAGGACTTTTTGTTAATCACTTTGATTACCAGAAACGTTTGCGTTTTTATTAGTGAAAAGGATCTATCTAAAACTTATACCCCCAGCAAAAAAAATGCATAGTTTAATGATTAATATAAGGAGTCATTTGGCCGGCCATTGGCCAAATTGGGCAAAAAAAATTTATTTTGCCGAAATGGCCAAATATTCATATAGCAAAGCTAGCAATATAATATAATTAATTAATGTTATATGAATCAGTAACTTTTTGAATATCGGCCATTGCAAAAAATCGGTTGGTGTATTAGATAAAATTATTTTTTTTCAGATCACACGATAACTCATTACATTATAATGACGATACTCATTAAATCATATCGCGTGATCTGAAAAAATTTTGGTGGTGAATTTTACCCGTTATTAGGTAGGGAACATGGCATGATAGTCATTGACATGTCTTTAATCTGATTGGTTAAAGAAATTTAATAATATTCGAAAAATAATTTTGTTATACTTAATACGTAGTATAGTATGGTGGCATTCTGGCTTCAATTTGCTAAATGATTTTAGGGTGCAAGGGTTCACTAATATTAGGGTACAGATTGTGACACCGATATCCATCAATATTGTGAGTAAAAGTGCAGGCGAATCGTTGATATAAGCTTATCTAGTTACGGTTTAAGCCGTAACATCATTGGGACGATTCGCCTGCACCTCTAATTGAGAGTAGAGAAGCGACTGTCCCGAATATAGAAATGATGCCGATATGAACTTTAGTAAGTCACATGCCAATTAGCCAATCAAATTACAAAAAATTGTGGGATTCAAGAAAATGTTTAAATTCATCTGTTACACTTTATGTTTCATAGAAAGTTAAGCTACCCGAGATTTCTATATCAATTATGTAACTATACAGCTATATGAAAATCATTTCCATATCGTTCCTGTTGGCATTTAATTTATTTTAATTGTAGTGCGTATCTAGCCAACATGTGAATTTGTGCATTTAGCCAACATGTGAATTTTTGCTATGGGTAATTCGGGTAAGGATTTTCTTGGCGGGTACAAACCTTAACGTTAATCATTACAAAGAACTACTGGATATAAAAATATATATCAAAGAGTAAATCTTTTATTTTAGCTAATCGGAATTTCATGTTACTATTCTACTTAAATCCTAGGTTGAGGTAGGTTATAGTGATAGGTTAGTTACTATTTTAGATAGTGATCTGCATCAATAACATAACCACTTTCGCGGGTTTCTATCGCGGGTTTAATCGTTATTTGGTTGTGATCTCCACAACTATTACGTATAATAAAAATTTCAAAGCTTTCTTGTGTTACTATGGAGTTTCATGCTATTTCTGGTTGGATTAGATCTATAAAAAATCAGGTAAATTTTCTTTTTTTTTATACTTTATTTAAAGATTTTTTAATAAACTACCAAATTAAATATATATTTTTTCGATAAATTTGTAGAAGGTTGAATTGGATCTGATTGTGCGATAGATCGATTCTAAGTGGGTTGCTAATTCAGCGCCAATACTGTCAATATTTTTACTTGGTTTTCGTATATGGAGCAAAAAGAGGGTAATGGGCCAAAATTTTGTTATTTTGTAATCTTATGCCTATTAGTCTAAATTCTTCAAGAAATTGGCTTTTTTTAAAAAAATTTTTTTGGTCCATTGCCCTTTTTGCTGTGGGAGTATCCATATATTGTCGAATTATTTGTCCATATGAAGTTTCTCCGAATATTAATTATATTATCAATATATGATTATTATCTATGCTCCGAATATAATCTTGAAAGTCTCGTTTTATTCGCATCGTCGACTCAATTCGTCTATTATCCCTGTAGATAAATACAATGAAATGATAAATGATATGCATTTGCAGTTCAAAAGGTGTGTATTTATAAAATAAATGTAAATAGTTACTAGTTTCGACATATTTTAACACCACATACACTGGCAATCATAAAAAATGCAACACATGATAATTTTTATAATAAAGCATAGTAACGATTGAAATTTTCACTTTATAAGGCCATAACAACTTAATAAATTGGTTCTAATAATCGGTCAGGTCAAATTTTATAAAACTTGAAGAAAAAATTTTAAGCATATTTACTATCCGGGTGAGTTTTTCAAAAAAAAAAACTATAAAAATTTTATATATTTTATATATATTCTTTTTTGAAATATTATTAGTAAGGATATAAGCAGAATCAAATGCACAAAATGTTTAAAGTAACTTGCAAGCTGGATGATGCAGAATATGTACTAAAATTTATCATATTAGGTTGAATCAATAGAAATCAAGCAAATTTTTTTTAAATAAATTTTTTTGAAACTTTAAACAAAGATAATTTAACAAAACTTTTTTAAAATAAAGTAATAAATTTGTAGCCATGGTTACTGTAGCCACATTCAATAAATTTTAAGTGTAGAGGATATATAGATCATTTTTATATAGTTTTATATAGTATTTTAAAATTTTTATATAAAATTAAAATATACTACTTATAAAACTTTTTTAAATTATAATTAATTTTTATTAAAATTTCATAAAATATAAATAAAATAATTTATCTATTATGATAAAATTTTTTTTAACTTTGGTAATTATGATGGTCAACCAGTCAAAAGTTTATTCATAAATATTTAGTACAAATGATATATAAATATAACTATATCTAACTCTATATGTTATTATTATATGGTTACTTTAATTGGCACCTATAAGTAACCTGTTATATCAAACTTGTTAAAGTCTAAATCAAGCTCATCTGTTTGCTATTCTACAATTGAACAGCATCAATCTGATACTATTTATTCATAGAGAGATAAAAAAATAAAAAAAATTTTCTTGTTAAGAGAAGAATATACTAAAAAATATATATATAGAAAAGAACATAAAAAAAAAAAACAAATATTAAGAAATAAAAGAAAAGAGGATTGCTGATGAAGGTCAGACAAACAGTTACTTATTATAAAGATTGTGCCAGTCTACTAAAAATTATATTTTACTAAATACAATAATCTTTACTTTATCTAATTAACATATTTAATACTAAAGCTTATAGGCTAAGAGAAACAATTTAACTAAAACTGAACTGACAGAGAATTTTCTATATATCAGATATTTTGATTTTTTGTTACTAGATCCATCTTCATATATAACTTATTATACTTTTCACCAGATCTTATATTTTGATTAATCATACTATTTTTTGCTAAAAATCTCTAGTTTTATCTTATTGTTGTATTTTTTTCAAGACATATATATTCATGTTTTATCTATAATATAGATTCTTTTCAAATAGAACTAATAAACAATCCCAATTTGAAAGAATTAACTATGTTAATTTTTATGAAGTAAGCTAAATTGTTTATTTTTCAATAAAAATTTTTTGAAAAAAAGTGAGAAAAAAATTTCTAAAACACTAACTGTAATAAGTGTAGAAGTTTATATTATATAAAATAATATATCTAACTAGGCTTTTATTTTTGCTATTATTTAGATAAAGCTTAACAAAAACTTCTTTAATTGTAGTCAAAGTTATTTTTTTGATAACTTTATAGATTTCTACTAGAAAGTCAAATCTATAAGAAGCTATTTTTTCAACTCTTTTTTATCTTACCTATATGCAATCTGAAACTCTTAAACTTAGATACTATATAGTAAGTTTTGTTATATATAAATATACTTTTTTTTTTTTTTAACTTAAGCAGTCATGCTAGTACTTTATTAGAATTTTTGATACTATACAGATTACTGAGAATTTTCCTAATACTTAAGTCCAGCATCATCTAGCCACCTTATTGGTACCTAAGTGAGACCTGCCTCACTACCTTAAACAGAGGTAGACTGCTCGTCTGACTGCCGCCTTACAATAGGATACTACCAATCTGATGACATCTTCTCGTAGGGAAGCAAAAAAACAAAAAAAGATTTTATATGTAAAAAAAAAAAACAGAGGTATGGGGGTAAACGATAAAAGATACAAACCAAAAAATAAAAGGAGGAAAGGAAAAAATGAGAAAAAAAGAAAGTGTAAAACTTGCAATTCACAAAAAAATCAGACGGTCATGATTTTAAGCCTGTGTTAGGCATGAAACTTGCAATTCACAGATGTCAGACAACTACAATTATAAGCCTGTGTTAGGCTTGTAAAAATTATAAACTATACTCAATAGAAATTACTCTACTATCTTTCTATTTACTTAGAATATTTAAACAAAAAACCAAAAAAGAAGAAAAAACTTTGACTTTATCATAGAGGGTCGGTATAAGGTACTGATTAGTTCAGAGACAGTGTTTGACAGGTTTCCAGCAGCTCAAGGCATGTGTATAGTCATGTTTGTGTTGCTATATTATTTCTGATCTATGTTGTAAACAATCCTGTTTAGGAAGTAAATACTGCTGACTGTTTTGGTGATTTTACATGTCGATCTT